AGTCGGAACCCGCGACCATCGCCGCTTCGCCGCCTGCTGCCACCGCTGCGCCTTGGCCTGCCGTCGCCGCCGCCGCCGCGGGGGGTACTGTCACCGGTTCGCCGACCGCTGCTGCGGCTGCACCGTGGGGACCCGCGACCGCCGACGCCATTTCATCGTTGCCGTCGAACACCGCTGGTGGTGCACCATGGACTGCAGCCGCCACCGCCGCCGCACCGTCGCCGCTGCCGCCAAACCCCGGGGACGGCGCGCCGTTTGCACCCTCGCCGGGTGCCGCCGCGCTGCCGGACCCGAGGATGACCGCGACGAGGACTACCGCCGCTCTGCTACCCGCCGCCGTTACCGCTGCCGCGCCGTTGCCGTCGCCGCCGACCTCCGAGGCCGATGGACCGCTTTCGCCTTCGCCAGGTGCCGCCAAGCTGCCGGGCCCGAGGACGCCCGCGGCGAGGAGTGCCGCCGCCGCCACTTCGTCGTCGCAGCAGCATTCCGCCGCAGAAGGTACATAGATCGCTCCAGCCACCGCCCGCGCGTCGTCGTCGACATCGCCTTCTTCGGGACATGCATCCCGACGTGTAATGAACGGCAAACCGATTATTTGGCCTGGGATGGTAGGGGCCGGCGAGCTGGGGGGCGGCGAGATGAAGGCGATGGAGAACAGCATGTTTGGTAGGGGTGCATGTGGGAGATCAAGAGCAACCTGCTGGGGGTCGCCCCTCCGAGCGGGGCATTCTGTTTGGGCTCGTGGCGCGCCTTGCATCGCGCGACGACATCGAGTCTGAAATAACAATGTGGGTTTCGTATCTAGTTTTGTTTTGTTTGCCGTTCTTTCTGGCAGCGCATTATACTATTGCACTGGTATTTTCTTCCTCGTTTGTTGCTGTTCTTATGTACATCCAGAATCATGGGGGGGGGAGTCATCTGTGACCATGATTCTAGAGGGCATAAAAAAAAAAAAGGCAATCGATTTGTTTTCGTTTTTCCATATGAAGAGCTTGCTTTGCAAGGGGGCTGTCTGCACGTACGTTTGGTTGCTGACGTATTGATTTTCGCGGAGTGTCCTTGGATGAACTCTGGAAATACAATGGGTATGCCTACATGTTTGTTGAGCTTTCTATCTTTTCTTGGACAGCAACGGTGGCACCGATTTGCGTGTACGTACTGTTTAGTTTGGTCCTCAAAGACTATACTAGAGAAAGGAGTTGGCAAGAGTGATTGTTGGGGCCTCTGTGCTTTCCAAATACTCGTTTCTGTTGCACAATAAGTTGTACTCGAGTAATATAGTTTTGTTTGAGTTTTTGTGCGTACTCTTTGAAGCTGTTTTTCTCAGAATTGTCCGTTCTCATTCCGATGTTTTTCTGATACAGCGCTGGCGCTTGTATGGTATATGCGGGTTTGTGGATTCCGATTTGTTTTTTTTGTTTGGTTTTGGTTTTTGGCTTGTTTCGGAGTTCTTTGGATTTGGTTTTTGCGATTGAAATTGCACCTGGAAGAATATTTGACGGCATGAAGGCTGCGCTGAAAATGTTCCAAAAGGATCATGGTGATGGAACAGGGTTATTGGTTTGAGTCCTTGCGACCATGGTGTGCAGGTCGCTACGGTTGTGCTACATGATTTTGTTTTTTTTCCTTTTTTTCGTGTGGCATTTTTCTTGGTAGAAGGCTCTGTCTACGTTGTCCCCTTTGTATTTGGTACGCATTGCCATATACCATCGGTCAGGGGTACCCCCTCTATTTCTATAAAATGCTATGTCTTCGATGCTGTTGTCAATCGTCATTGGGGAATTGGTGTGTCATGGCAATTGATGGCCGCAACATTACGAAGAATGGAATGTTTCGTCTGTTTTCGATGTACGATTTGCGAAGTTCGGGATTTGATTTCGTTCACAACGTAGGTTGCGATTTTTGGTGTTGCTCTCAGTACCCAAATATCACAGGATGCGTTTATCAAGTAGAGGGTTGATCCTTTGACGTCTGGTGTACGGAGAAGGGGGGCGGTAACCAGACATGTATGGGTAGGGTATGCAAGAAGAAAATAAAAGGTATTGTTGGAAACTGAACGGAGGTTTGTGTTCAAGGGATAATAGTCAAAGAGGCAAGGGGGGGCCTGTCTTCTGGCACTCCATGACTCCAATGTGCCTCGCGCTGTCAACCACGCAGGCAGCGTGTGTAGCGATGTCACATGCTTCAAGGAATTTCGTTTCTGAGGTAGATATGGTGTACTGTGTTGCCGAGGTCTTCTGGTTTGTGTTTTCATCGTGTTGGACGTTGAACTCAAGATTGGCCGATAGAAAATGCTCTGANCGCGCTGTCAACCACGCAGGCAGCGTGTGTAGCGATGTCGCATGCTTCAAGGAATTTCGTTTCTGAGGTAGATATGGTGTACTGTGAGGCCGAGGTCGTCTGGTTTGTGTTTTCATCGTGTTCGACGTTGAACTCAAGATTGGCCGATAGAAAATGCCCTGAAGGATTTTTGCATCAATGGTCTTCATGTTATAAAGATGAGGTATGGAGTCGAGCATTTTTGTGCATTCATGATTGATTCTTGTTTTCAGCTACTTGTGGATGCGAGGTATCCTCGGAAAGTGATTTGTCCCGGACGGTGTTGTATGTGTGTGCGTATGTGTTTGTATTCATTTGTTTCTGATATGACCCATTGCGGTTGTTTCGATTATTTGAGTTTTGAATGATTTGATATTGGGAATTTGGAAAATTCACCAGCGACCGATGGAAATTCTTGGTGGTGTTCCTGGTTTTCAACCGATGGGAATTCCAATCAGTGTTTCTGATTTAATGGTTGTAGTGAATGTTTTGATCCTTGGAGGTTCTGGACAAAATGGAGACCAATGGAAATTCTGGAAGGAACTACTAGTTAGTGTTTCTGGTTTAATGGTTTATTTTTGTCCCAAGAGAATAGGAGGAGATCCGACTACTGTTGGACATTGACATTGATTTCTGGAGCTTTTGGGATGGGTTTTGTGCGATACGTAAGTCCGGGAATAATGTTGACCATGCAGCGAGCAGGGGGGCTGTTGGATGTACACACAGCATTGACAGATTATTGCAACCGAGGAACGTTCCGAGAAGATGGAGCGGGGA